AAGTAAAATGAAATCCTTGACAACTTCAATGTTTTCTCTGTTGATCATGTTGCTTATTGGTTCAGCTGTGAGGATTTTTGTTTTCTTTATGTTGAGGTATAATCCATAGTGAAGGCTGTGGTCTTTGATCTTCAACAGTAAGTGCTTCAAGTCCTCTTCACTTTCAGCAAGCAAGGCTGTGTCATCTGTATATCACAGATTGTTAATGAGTCTTCATTCAGTCTTGATGCCCCGATCTTCTTCATAGAGTCCAGCTTCTCAGATATTTGCTCAGCATACATATTGAATAGGTATGGCGAAAGAATACAACCCTGATGCACACCTTTCCTGACTTTAAACCACGCAATATCCCCTTGTTCTGTTCGAACAACTGACTCTTGATCTGTGTACAGGTTCTTCATGAGCACAATTAAGTGTTCTAGAATGCCCATTCTTCGCAATGTTACCCATAATTTGTTAGGATCCACACAGTCAAATGCCTTTGCATAGTCAATAAAACACAGGTAAACATCTTTCTGGTATTCTTTGCTTTCAGCCAGGATCCATCTGACATCAGCAACGATATCCCTGGTTCCACGTCCTCTTCAGAATCCAGCTTGAACTGCTGGCAGTTCCCTGTTAATATACTGCTGCAGCCGCTTTTGAATGATCTTCAGCAAAATTTTACTTGTGTGTGATATTAGTGATATTGTTTGACAATTTCTGCATTCAGTTGGATCACCTTTCTTGGGAATAGGCATAAATGTGTATCTCTTCCAGTCAGTTGGCCAGGTAGCTGTCTTCCAAGTTTCTTAGCATAGATGAGTAAGCACTTCCAGCGCTGCATCTGTTTGTTGAAAACATCTCAGTTGGTATTCCATCAATTCCTGGAGCCTTGTTTTTCGCCAGTGCCTTCAGTGCAGCTTGGACCTCTTCCTTCAGTATTATCAGTTCTTGATCATATGCTACCTCCTGAAATGGTTGAACGTTGACCAATTCTTTTCGGTATAATGACTATGTGTATTTCTTCTATCTTCTTTTGATGTTTCCTGCATCATTTAATATTTTCCCCATAGAATCCGTCACTATTGCAACTCGAGGCTTGAATTTTTTTTCTTCTGTTCTTTCAGCTTGAGAAATGCCAAATGTGTTCTTTCCTTTTGGTTTGCTATCTCCAGCTCTTTGCACATGTCATTATAATATAAATAGAGGTCAATATAACCAGCTTGATGGTGTCATAGTGGATATTAAGTACTAGCATCACCTGGGGAACATTTAAAACTATCTATGCCCAGACCCCACCCCAGAGCAGTTAAATCAAATCTTGGGATAGACGACCCAGGCCTAAGTCTTTTAAGCTCTCACCACCCATCTGTCGGTTTGTTGGACTGTGGTGGCTTATGCGTTGCTATGATGCTGGAAGCTATGCCACTGGTATTTCAAATAGCAGCAAGGTCATCCATGATGCACAGGTTTCAGTGGAGCTTCCAGACTAAGACAGGCTAGGAAGAAAGACCTGAAGATATACTTCCAAAAATTAGCCAATGAAAACCCTATGGATCACAACAGAATATTGCCTGATACACTGCTGGAAGGTGAGCCCCCTAGGTTAGAAGGCACTTAAAATACACAGTGGCCACAATGGCCTTGAACATACCAACAATCACGCAGATGGCACAGGACTGGGTGATGTTTCCTTCTGTTGTACTTCGGATCGCCATAAGTCAAAGCTGCCTTGAAGGCAACTAACAACCACCACCACCAGGTGTGACTCTAACAAGCAGTCAGGGTTGAGAACCACCAGCCTAGGTGGCCTTTCTCATCTTGATATTTCTGTTTACTTGTATATGGTTCTCCGAGGCTCTGAGTTTGGGGTATAGAGCCTCAGCCTCCAGCTGGCAGCTAAGGAGAGCCCACAATAATAGCTAGTCAAACTAAAACTCTGCACAGTAAAAGCCTTTGATTACTTAGTGCCCCCTCTTAGGAGTTCTTAAGGCACATGTCACTGGTACTACAATGCTGCAGCATCAGCTATACTGTTCGGGACAACTCATTGATTAGTTTATGTGTGTTCTTCTTGGCTGCCTAGCTAGGTATGAACTCCTCAAGGGTAGGGACAATGTTATATAAGCCTGGGCACGAGTGTTGCTGTTAGGTGCCGTTGAGTCGATTCCGACTCATAGCAACCCCATGTGACAGAGTAGAACTTCCCCATAGGGTTGTCTTGGCTGTAATCTCTATGGAAGCAGATCACCAGCTCTTTCTCTTGTGGACTGGCTGGGTGGGTTCAAACTGCCAGCCTTTCAGTGAGCAGCCGAGTGCTCAACCATTGTGCCACCAGGCCTCCTTGGGCATGAGTCGGTGCTTGATAATATTTGTTGATTTATTGAGAAAAGGGACCCAAGGTACAAAAATATTTTTGAACTTCGATATACCTTCTTGTTAAACTAGAAGGAAAATGGATTTTCAAAAGTCAATAGTATAAAATACTATAGGAGTTTTTAGATGGCTTTGTATATTATATATAATAACAGATGTATATTGACTTCAAGTCACCTGCTTTTATTCAAGCTCCTAATTCATAAATCATGATGATTTCCCAGCACACAGTGTGAGGAGTTTTATTGAAGATTGGATTTGATCACTGGAACCCATTTACTTTTTTCCCTCAACTTTCTTTCAGGAAAAAAATCTAGTACGTTTGGTGGGGCAGAAAGCTTAGGAATTTGGTAAGAGCTAAGTTGCTTCCAGAAATTTCCAAAATGCAGAAGCAGGCAGCTAAGGGCATAATATTTAACAGAGTCCCATTCCTTTTTGGGGGTGGGAATGGGGGAAAGAGAAGCATGGAATTAGAATCTCATCATTTTCATTAATGAAGCTAATTTATTCCATCAAGAAAGCACTGTTAATAACCAAACAAGAAATATGTACCGAGTGTTTATTCTGTGCAAGGCCCTTTGCTCGAAGCAACGGAAATACAATGAAAGACATGGCTCCCTTTCACAAGGTATTTACAGTCCAGAAAGGGAAATGTGACACCATTCCTGAAAAATGACTGTTGTTGTGGAGTTGATTCCAACTCACAGTAATCCCACGTGTGCAGAGCAGAACTGCTCCATAGGATTTTCAAGGTTGTGACCTTTCCGAAGCAGATCGCCAGGTCTGTCTTCCAGCGTGACTCTGGGTGGGTGTAGACCGCCAACCTTTTGGCTAGTAGTTGAGCACTTAACTGTTTGCATCACCCAGGGACTCCTGAAAAAAATGACTAATGATACTTAATATATTTTTGAGCCCTTCTCTAATTAATGCAATGTTCTTTTTAACACTCATTTCATTTCTTCTCAAACTCTACAAACTTACTGGGGTTATTAATGAAGCTTTTTAGGTAGTCTAAGGAGCCCTGAAGAGGAGCCTTGGTAGCACAGTGGTTAAGAGCTACAGCTGCTAACCGAAAGGTCCACCAGCTGCTCCTTGGAAACCCTATAGGGCAGTTCTACTCTGTTCTATAGGGTTGCTGAGTCAGAATCAACTTGATGGCAACAGGTTTGGTTGGTTCTGGTTTTAAGGAGCCCTGAAGCGGAGCCCTGGTGGCACAGTGGTTAAGAGCTCGGCTGCTAACCAAACGGTCGGCAGTTCAAATCCACTAGCTGCTCCTTGGAAACTCTATGGGGCAGTTCCACTCTGTCCTATAGGGTCGCTATGAGTAGGAATCAGCTTGATGGCAACGGGTAAGGAGACCTGATGGTGAAGTGGTTAAGTGCTCAGCTGCTAACTGGAAAGGTCAGTGGTTTGAAATCACCAGCCGTTCCTCAGGAGAAAGATGTGGCAGTCTGCTTCCACAAAGATTTACAGCGTTGGAAACGCTCTGGCACAGTTCTGTTCTGTCCTACAGGGTCGCTATGAGTTGGAATCAACACAATGGCAGCAGGGTTTAAGTAAGTAGACCATTGTGCCCAAATAATGAGGAGGGCAGATGCCCTGAGTCCTGTCATTAGCCCAAGTGCATGCTGCAGAGTGGAGTGTGACCAGGAGGGAATCCCAGTATCATCCCATTTAGAGCAGCAGTGTCTGCCAGGCTAAAGCCTCTTCTAAGAGTTGTTAGAGTCAAGAGGTTAAACATGTGACTCTAATTTGCAGTGAGGAAGCAAAGTCCTGAACCCTCTTCCATTGCTTATTAATAGATAATCAGAAGGAAAGGGAAATTCTGCATAAGTCTCCCAGTGGGTTTCTGGAGATACATTTGTGATTTTGTAAGTTTATGGGCTGGGGAAGACATTTTCCCTCAATACAAACCAAGTGGATTTTGATTATTAGGGATAACTAAGAAAATAATTTTGTTTTAATACAGACCCTCTGTAGATTAATTGCAAATAATTAATCTGAGATTAGGCTTTGGAATCCATAATAAAAAGGTTTGGAGGATGTCATCATTGTTTTTGTTGACCAGTAACAAATTCCAAATACATAGATAACTTACAGTCCTGCTTTTCCTAATTGTGAACGAGACATTCCGCCTAAATGCATGCAGTGCTGTTGACCACCAGCTCACTCTTTACATTAAGTGCTTGGTTTATTCATTCAGTGGTTAAACAAATTTATAAAAGTAATCCAAACCAATACCATGTGTATTATTTTGCTCCCACTTTGATTAGTTTTGATGGTAGTGAAGGCTTTACTGCTCTATTCGTAATGATTAAAAAGAAATCACTTATTCTGGAGGGTTTCACTTGTATCTTTAGGAAGAAAACAAGAGAGAGAGCGAGAAAGCAAGCAAACAAGTCAAGTGCAGCTCCGTTCACAAGGTATTTACAGTCCAGAGAGGGGCTGTCGCACCACACTCGAAAAATGCCTGATATTTTGAGCCCTTCACTGATTAACCCAATGTTCTTTTTGCACTGATTTCATTCCTTCTCAAACTCTACAACTGCCACAAGTCGTTTTCAATTACTTCTGAGGAATTAGTAATCAGTAGTCGGCTTAATAAGGAAAACGAAATACTGAGGAACTGTGTATCTAGTCATTTAAAAGCTAAATATTATTTCAATTTAATCTTAAAGAAAAACCAGTGGACTATGTCTATATTCCCAAGTTGACAGAGGAAACCTGCAAATTAATAACTTGTACTCTCAATAGCTTGTCTTGTTTGAGGGAGTATTTAAAAACAGCATGTTTGCCAACCGGCAGGATTCCATTTAAGCATTCTACATCTTTACTCAGAGAAGCCCTCAACATCATCACTCCCCAAATAGGCCTGTGGTGTCAACAAAAAAATTAGCATGGTACTTGGCATGAAAAACAAACCCACGTTTTATTTATATTTTACAAAATCTATATTTTAATGTGTACACAGTTTAAAAAAATACAAAGCACTCAAGCCCATGTACTCTACCAAAAAAAAAAAAGTCTGACTACTTCATGCACACACAACGCACTAAGCCTAAATGCATTTACACAACAAGAAGAAGGTCGCTCTATTTTGAGCATACACAAAAATGGATATTGTAAATTCGCCTGAACAGGACAAACTTACAAAGTTTAAGAAAGTGATTATTTCTCTGAGGACTAAAATGTCAGTATAGCCTAAGCATATTTTTTTTCCTTAAGATTGTCTTCCCTCAAAGTAAATCCAGAAAAAGGGGAGGGGACATTATCTTCATAGCAATCGAAACCATTCACAAGATCCATTAATGAAATCTACAAAACACACATAAGGAAAAAAGAGAGGCAATCAAACTATTGCGTCCATCCCACTAGCGATACAAGAAACGTGAAAGCTTGCTGATTTTATTCTAAGACTGCATCCAAGGCCATCGAAAGCGCTTGAGGCTACTTTAGACAGGGTTGCGCCCTGGCAGGATTGCGCCCGCGACCGGCGCCCTAATTGGCCATCGGGAAGGGCTCGGGCTGGAAGCCGAAGAGCCTCTGGCCGTAGGGCTCGCTCTCGCCTGGCAGCTCCGCGCCTGCGAAGGGGAGGTAGTGGTCACGGCCGAAGTGCTCACAATGGAGATTGATCCACTCCCGCTCCGAGCCGAATCGCTCGGCCTCGGCTAGGATCCGGGTCAGAGCCATGATGTAGCTCAGCGCCATCTGCAGGGTTTCGTACTTGGACAGCTTTTTATCCTGGCCCCACTGAGGCACCACCCGGCGCAAGCGATCGAAAGCCGTGTTGAGCCCCTGCATCCGGCGCCGCTCGCGCGCGTTGGCCGCCAGGCGCCTGCGCGTCGCGCTCTCCAGCCGCTCGGGCCCGGCGCACGTGCCCGCGCACGCGGCACCGCCCACGCACGGGGGCGCGACGCGCGCTCCCGCCGCCGGGCCTCCGGATTTGCAGGATTTCATAGTTGTCCTGCGCGGCCGTGAGGCCACAGAAGGGTAGCCGGGAGCTCACCGACGCGCAAGACCTGTGTGTGGGCTTGTCTGCCGAACCGCTTCGTAACGTGGCTCTTCTTTAGCAAAAAAGTTATAAACAAAGCAACTCGCGCGGAATCAAATAGTTTACAGTGGGGAGTGCAGGACTCGACCTTCTGTCCTACTGGGTAACCAGGTTGAAATCTCTTCAGTTGCCCAAATTTAGGGGTAATTGAGGTGCTGAAGAGAAAGTCATTTTCCCAACGTGAAGTTGAAAAAGGGAAAGGAGGCTTCGTTCAGTAAAGTTTGGTCTGGCTGGTTCGGGGAAGGCCTTTCAAGCCCTCCAGGAAAGACCCAGACTCTCTTTCAAGAAGATGCAGTCTTTCCCGAATCTCCAGTGAGGAAGGAGCGCTTTTTCCGCAGTAGCTGGCGGAGAGTGCTGGATGAATCTTTGAGGAGGAGGCTTTATAGCCGAGGGCTGAACTAGGAAACAGGTGGTGGCAGGTGGGAGGGCGTCCCTCGGCTTCCATCTCAGCACCTTCCTACCCTGGGAACTGCGGGGGGGTCGGGGGGAAGGGGGGCGACGCACAGCAAAATCCTGACGTTACAGCCTTCGTCTGTTGAAGTGTCTCTAAAGCTATGCCTGTCCAGCACTAACACACCATCTGGAGTGGCCTGACTGTCCCCAAATGAATAACAAGGTGGGGGGCGGGGGGCGAGGGAAGAGCTTCATCTCTAGTTAAATCTTTTCCCGTATCAGTGAACAGCTTACATATCAAAAACTTCACTAGGGTTTTTAAATTATTAGAAATCTTTTGCGTGAAGATGTTGCTCCTGGAATTATGAGAAGTATCAGAATTTTAGTATAAGAAAATTTAGCTTTTTCGAGATGTGTGCATGGGCGAATTATCCAACAGGCAAGGTAAGCACGATGCTTACCTTGCTTACCAGATCATCTGTAGTGAACAATTTCACATTTTTTCAGCACATTAAAGATTCTGCTTCTAGGTATGACTGGCTTCTATCTCTCTCCCAACCCCACAGCACCTTCCTGCAGAATCAAAGCCTCTTTTCAAATGTGCAGTCCCTGACAGGGGCGGACGACCCAGTAAGCAAGGTAAGCACAGGTTTACTTGTAAGTACGGGCTTACTCGTGCTTACTTACCCATCTGTAAGTTCAGTACAGATTGGTAAGTAAGCACGGGTAAACCTGTGCTTTCCTTGCCTATTGGATAATCCGCCCTTGGATGTGTGGCAATTTTGCATAATGTTGATCTAATATATTGACATTTTTTATTTTAGTTATTAAGTAAGTTGGGACACATTAGCAGGTCTCAATATTATTGCAGACCTGGAAATTTACTGTGCAAATATTTTGGCCTTTTTCTGCAGAAAAATTTATTATAATGTATCAAAAGATATGAATGTGTATACCAAATTAATTTATATAATTCTAGTTACACAATTGAATTGCATAAGATCAGATAGTGAGGCAAATTAATTCAGTATTTATCCTCCATTTCCCCCGACACAGGTTCATTAAGTTTGTAGAACATACATTAAGTTGATAATTAATCACTTAATTATTTAATTTGGAGTTTAATAAAGTGAATCATCATGCACATATAAATGCCAAGTGCAAACATCTAAGTAATGTGTGAGGTTTAAAACAAAATTTCTAGTGGAAGATTTTCCCCACCTCATAAAACTATAAGTATTTCATACTACTTGGATGTTTCAGTTGTGTCAACCATGCTCAGGAACAATGATGAAGCATGATTTCTATTATTGATAATGATGATCTGATTTATACAAAGAAACCCTAAACTTGATTCTCCCGTCTCGGCTTCTTTCTAGATCTTGTGGAGGAGCGAAGGGGCAAAGACATCAGATTTCAAATAAGTTCATATGTTTTCTGGATTCTTCAGGAAGAACAAGTATGCTCTTTCTGCTTTTGAAATACGGATGATGTCATCATTATTCTCAGACATTTTTGTTTAATTAAATTATCAACAAGCTCTCACAAATTGGGAACCTTTTCACTGTGACTTGTTTCCCCCCACCAATGCCTCAGACTGTAACCCCATTGTGACTGTCCTGACTCCAAGCCCTGTCTTCCCATAAATAGTTGATTAATCCCCAGCTGAAGCAACGACAATGAAATGAAGTTGAATAACATGAAGACAATAGGATGCAATTGAACATTAATGAACTCCAGCATGACAGATGTTGAACACAGACTTCTGCCTGGAGCCACTCAACTCAGTAACTCTGAGTCCTAACAGTCTTGGTCAGGAACAGCAGTCCTGTGACAGGAAAGACTATGGTATTTAATCATCAAAATGTCGAATACATTTTTAGAGTTCTTGCGGAACTCTGCCCTATTAATGTCATTGTTTCTCATGTTCATTGATTTCATCCTTTTCACCCAGGAGCTCGCTCTGTGCGCCTCTTTGGAACATTTTTTCTGCAAAACAAGCTGTGCCTTGTTCTGGACACTATTGTCCAAAGTGCTAATTGTAGGCTAATTGTATGCTCTAGCAGGCTGTGTATCCAATGTTGGTAAGATTATAACCCATGCACCAAGAGCATCAAAAACATAACTTGAAAAGAAAACGAAAACAGAACAGTATGCACATAACATGCTACATTAGAATATAAACCAGCAGATATTGCTGAAGTAAAAATTAATCTGACAATAGAGACTATGTTGTCATAAAGGGCCTTCAAGGTCATATGCTAAACATTTCCCAATGCATTCTAAAGAACATTAGTCCTACAAAGACGCTTCTGGGGAAAAGAGTTCCACTGTCAAGTAAATTTGGGAAACACGTCTGCCATCTCCCTCATTGTCATGGATTCAATTATGTCCCCCCAAAAATGTGTGTATCAATTTGGCCGGGCCATGATTCCTGGTATTGTGTGATTTTCCTGTATGTTGTAAATCCTGCCTCTATGATATTAATGAGGGAGGATGGGCAGCAGTTGTGTTAGTGAGGCAGGACTCAATTTACAAGATATTGTGTCCTGAGGCAATCTCTTAAGATATAAAAGAGAGAAGTGAGCAGAGAGACATGGGGACCTCATACCACCAAGAAAGCAGTGCCGGGAGCAGAGCCTGTCCTTTGGACCCGGGGTCCCAGCGCCAAGAAGCTCCTAGTCCAGGGGAACTTTGATGAGAAGGCCAACAGAGGGAGAAAGCCCTTCCCTGGAGGTGACACCCTGAATTTGGACTTTTAGCCTACTTTACTGTGAAGAAATAAATTTCTCTTTGTTAAAGCCATCCACTCGTGGTATTGCTGTTGTAGCAGCACAAGATGACTAAGACGCTCATGGAGAGTTGTGAAGAAAAATTGGGATATTAAAGGTTCTGAGAAGTCCTGGAGCAAATAAATCTATTGAATTCAACATTCCCTAGAACTTTCTGAACACAGAACGCTTTTTCTTAGAAATACCTATTAACAAAGTTCCCTGAAACTCATTCTTTCAAACCTGCTCTAGTACCTTCTGTTTACTTTATAGAAGAGGAAACTGAGATCCAGACTAAACACTATACTCAAAGACACTCAGCTGATTAATGACCGAGTTAAAACAAGAAGTCAAATCTCCTGAGTCCTTTGATTTTAGAAACTTTGAAATTATGAAACCACTTAATACAAGCCCTCCATTTTACAATAGGACAACTAAGATCCAGCAGGGACTTCCCAAACTCAGACAAGTTACTAGTAACCGTTGTCGGCGTTAGAAATTATGTGTTAAAGAATAGTATCACTTGTTTTATAACCCTCGTGTCTCATACAGTGCCTAGAAAATAATGAGTACTCAATAAATGGCCCTGACTGAATGGCTGGAAAATAAATAAGGTAAATGATAGATGCTGATTAGAATAAGTGCCTTCCTAGGGAATAAACCATCCAAATGATTTACATTCCCTCACCTTGTAGAGAACACAAGTTAACTTCTCATTCTGAGTGCAGAGTGAATTCTTCCTTATTAAAAATTTGGGCCATTTGAGCCAGAAGAACATGCATGTCAGACTAATTTCGACAGCGTTTCTCTCCTGAGGGTTTGATCCTAACAGGTGAGTTGGTGGTTAATGTATGTCTGGCGGTAGGTTGGAAATCAAAACTGGCAGATGCAGGTGGGGGGAAGAAGAAGGCGCTTATACATGTAGAAAGAGTAAGAAAAAAGGAGAAATATTATTTTAGAGGAAAAAGGTCAGTGGCTGGAAATTGTTACATAAAATACGTGGAATCAGGTCAAGGGTAAACATTCTTTTGTTATCCAAAACTGTATTTAATTTCTAAGATGGAAAATCTCAAAAAACACAAACAATTAAAAGGGAGAGAGGAAAACACTTGGTGAAAAATGTTCATTCTGAAATTTGCAGATAAATAAGGAAAATGAAGGTTGGGGCTTCTTTATGGAGGGGGTAAGAGCTGGGTGACCCTGGAAGACCAACTCCCCGGTTCATTCTGAAATTTGCAGATAAATAAGGAAAATGAAGGTTGGGGCTTCTTTATGGAGGGGGTAAGAGCTGGGTGATCCTGGAAGACCAACTCCCCGAAAGACTAAGAGGTGAGCCAGCAAAGGGTACAAGAATGACAAAGTTGAACTCTACTTATACTTCCCTAAAGACTGTCAGTGCAAGATGTCAGGCATTCAATAGCCTTATAATATACTATGTAGTTACTTGGTGGTGGTGGTGTTAGTTGCTGGCGAGTCATTACAGGGTGGGGAGGGAGCCTGCAAAAAGATTTATATGCTTAGAGAAAGGAAGGGGAAAAGCAGAGTCTTGCATCTGCCCCCAGCCCCTCAAAGGTCCTGGAAAGACAAAACCCAGAAACCAAAACCAAATCCATTCCTGTAGAGTCAATTCCGACTCATAGTGACCCTATAGGACAGAGTAGAACTGCCACACAGGGTTTCCAAGGCTTTAATCTTTACAGAAGCAGACTGGCACATCTTTCTCCTGCAGAGCGGCTACTGGG